GTTGTCTGTGGCTACTTGAATGATTCAAACAGACTTGTGCTTGTGACAAACCATACGGCCCCACAAAGCCTAAAATATTTGCTAACAGGCTCTTCATAGGAAAAGCACAGCGACCCCTGGTTAAGGCAGGATTTTCAAAAAGCAGGGGCGCCTGGCTGGCTCAGTCGGAAGAGCATCCAACTTTGATCTCAGGGGTTGTGAGTTCGAGCTCCCCATGTTTGATGTAGAGATTACTTAAATAAACTTAGAAAGGAAGATTTTCAAAATGCAGATTTATGAGAGTTTATAAAGTCAATTTAGTGGGCCTCAAACAGCGTTCTATTTTTAAAAATTGTTTAATGTTTGTTTTTGAGAGAGAGAGAGAGGGCAAGTAGAGGACGTCGGGCAGAGAGAGGAGACACTGTTGCATCCACACGACTCCTGAAACAGAATGCTACGGGCACCAGTGACAGTCACAACAAAGTTTATTACAATGAGAGGCAAGGCCGACGGATCGGGGACCAACACTCTTGATAAGAGTGCGGCCCCGAACAGCCGGGGTACAGAGTTTTTATAACCGATCACATCGTTTTATCATCACCTGGGAGCAGAACAAAGAAACAGTTTCCAGATGAGTTAGAAACAGTTGCCTAATGAGGTGTTTACTTTAGACTTTCTGCCTCTAAGTTGCAACCAGTGGATGTCCTTGACCCAGCCTCTGACTCTCTTTTCTTTGAACTTTTGTTTCCTTAATTGGTGAAGCCTAATTTACAAGAGTATGAGGCAGTAGTTTACCAGAGCAAAGCAAGGCTGTTATCTCTTAACCTTCAGTGTCAACACAAAGCTGTTATTTTTCAAGCTAAGCATTAGCCCTACACTACAATTTAACCCTTACAACACAGAATCCAAAGCAGGCTCCAGGCTCTGAGCTGTCAGCACAGTACCGGTATAGGGCTCGAACCCACGAACCACGAGACCATGACCTGAGCCGAAGTCAGATACTTAACCAACTGAGCCCCCCAGGCGCCCCGCACCATATATGTTTATATGTGTGTTGCGTCATGATATGAAATGCACTCCTCACTGTAGACCATGGTCAAAACATCTGAAAGTCACTGGCTTAGAAGGAGGCCTGGAAGACACAGAGAAGTAACCAGAAAGTTACGGTACAGTGTGATTGCTGTGAGGGTGAAAAAGCTACAGACTTAGAGACAGAAGAGGCACTTAAGACAGCCTTGGGGTATCAGCGAGGGCTTCTTGGAAGAAATGACATCTAAGCAGTGACCCTGAAGGACAAGTAGGAGTTAGCCAGGTAAAGAAGAGAAAAGATGGTCACGGCATGTGCAAAGGTCCTGGGGCAAAAGTAAGTAAGGCCTTTGGGAGAAACTACAAGGGGTTCAGAGTTTAGAATGAGGTGAGGCTTCTTTAAACTACTTCTTTCCTTACTCTCCATCACATTACTCTTCCATTTTCATTGAGCAATTATCAGTTACTTGGTTATCTCATTTATTTATTTACGTTCATTACACCTCCTCCAACACATTCGAAAAAGTAAATTCCATGTCAGGGGACACCTGCCTTGTTTATAACTACGGCTTTTGCTTATAACAGCCACTCAGCACTTACTACAGGAGTTTCAGGAACATATCCCTGCTAGATTGGAGGGACGAATGGACCCTGGGAGGGTTAAGACTTGAGGAGACCCACCCACTCGGAGGCTTTGGTAAAAATGCGGGCGAGAGCTTATGGTGCCTTCGATGTTGGGGACAAGCAGATGGACGTTAGGGCTAATGAGGAGCCGGGTAGCATCAGCGAACAGATACTGGGGCCAAGAAATGAAGGGTGCTGGTGGCTCCCAGCTGGGGCAGCGAGACAGACACAAGAGCCACCTGCTCGTGACAGCACGGCCATGGACGTGAGGAGTGGAGTTAAGTAGCTAGAAGGGGGTCGGAGAGAAGGGCGAGGAGTTCAGGAGGCTCTGTGAAACGTGAGCCCTCTGTGGGCCTCCTCGTGACTCCGGAGGCAGCTGACAGAGTGATGGGGGCGGGGGTCACACAGCCAGGGGTGGGGGACAGCGTCCGGAGAGAGCGAGGTGCCTTCTCAGCAGAATCCTGGTGCAGGACAGGACAAGGAGGAAGAGGGGCCGGCAGGGGCATGACAAGTCCTGAGGGTGGCAGGAAAACCGGGAGAGACCGTAAACAGAGAGAGGGTGGTCAGCTGTGTAGGATGCTGAAACAGGGTGCGTCAGGGAAGATAAGGTGATGAAGTGTCCCCTGGACGCCGGACCGGGACACGGGAGCATTTGATAGAGTGGCGGGTGCAGACTGGAAAGGGCAGGGAAGGGGGGGTGCGAATTAGAGGCAACCCTAAGAAGAAAATTCAAAGGACCCTTAATCCCAACACCCGGGGACAGCCACTGTCACCGTGTCGGTGTGTTCACAGCCTCTGCACATCCTTTTTTTTTTTTTTTTAAGTTTATGTATTTATTTTGAGAGAGAGAGAGAATCCCAAGCAGGCTCCACACTGTCAGCGCAGAGCCCGATGCGGGTCTTGAGCTCACGAACCGCGAGACCGTGACCCGAGACAACGTCGAGGCAGATGCTTAACCGACCGTGCCACCCAGGTGACCCCCTCCACGCATCTTTTTACAAAGCTTTAATGACCTAGATGGACACGGTGCCAACCAGCCTGCTTTTTTTCATATAACATGTGACCCAACGGATGTCCGCGTCCTCATGCAGTCTCTCTTCATCGATGGCTCAAGCTGATTTACTTTATGAACGCGACATACCCAGGCCCACATTGGGGACAGTTGGGACATTCCTGATTTTTCTCTGCGATAAATGAAAGAGGAAGTAGAGAGTGTCCCGGGACACAAAATAGCCTGAGCCTGCCTGGTGGGTGGGGGATTGCTTTGCGCGGAGTCTCTGGCCGGGGACCGAGGAAGGGAAATCCGTATCAGGGGAAGGAAGGCAACAGGGGTCTGTGTGGGGCCCTAGTCCCAACCAGGACAGCGCCTGATCTCAGGACACAAAGTCACCCACAGAGGGAGCTCCTCCCCCTTCTCAGGGGACACAGTGTGGCTCTGAGGGGGGGAGGACATTGAAAACCCCAAAGAACCCGGAAGAATGGCGCTGGCCGCCGGACGACCGGAGGGTTTGGGAGCTGTCACTTTGCACTGGGAGCATCGCCCAGGAGGGACAGGAGGCACCACGGATACGGGTACCCACCTGCTCGGGAGGTCATGGCTTTAGTCTCCCAAGTGTTTGGAGAGTCTCCTGCTGTCTTTCTCTCATTGATTTCCAGTTTGCGTACCTCGTGGTCAGAGAGCACGCCCTGTGTGATTCCAGAGCCTGGTCTCGGGGGCCGGGAGAGGGTCCGTCTTGTATATGCCCTGTGGGCGCTTGACAGAAACGTGAAGCTTGCTGTCGTTGGGTGAAAGGTGTCAGCTGTTGGCCGACGGTGTGGTTGGCTTCTCTAGCCTTGCTGACTTTCTTCTGCCTGGCCGCTCAGTCAGTGGCTGGAGGTAGGTCATGGGTCCTGGGCTTAGACAAACCCGGTCGGAACCCAGGCAGATTCAGACCCGGAACCCTGGAGAATCTCGTGTGAGAGCCACGCTCTGTTGGCCTGGCACGGAAAACACAAAGAGGCGATGTGCACGCAGGGCTTAGTCGAGTCGGACTGTGTTCTAAGCGCTTTATTTACATATGTGAGTAAGTTTCATCCTCGTAACAAACCTGGAGGTCCTGTGTTCTTTTTTTTTATTTTTTATTTTTTATTTTTTTTTTCAACGTTTATTTATTTTTGGGACAGAGAGAGACAGAGCATGAACGGGGGAGGGGCAGAGAGAGAGGGAGACACAGAATCGGAAACAGGCTCCAGGCTCTGAGCCATCAGCCCAGAGCCCGACGCGGGGCTCGAACTCACGGACCGCGAGATCGTGACCTGGCTGAAGTCAGACGCTTAACCGACTGCGCCACCCAGGCGCCCCAGGAGGTCCTGTGTTCTTAGTATCCCCCATTTTACAGATGAGAAGACTGAGGCACGGGAAGGTTAAGTCAGGTCACCAAGGTCAGTAGGGGAGCCCGGAAACAATATGTGCTTGTAACCTCTTGGGAAACTGCTTCTCGGAAAACAACACAACTTCCCGGAACAGATAACAGAGGGCTTACTTTTGAAAGGCTTTTATTTCCGCTTCATGATTGGCCATGAACAGAATCACAAACACGTCTGCCGAGTTTTCTGTGAAATTCACGGAGAGATTGAAGGCGGGGGGGGGGGCAGCTCCTGGAAATGGATCAGCGAGCTTCTAGAAAGATCACTAAACTCTACCTGACACCGCCCGCCTCATCACTGTTTGTTTGTTTGTTTTTAATGTTTATTTATTTTTGAAAGACAGAGTGTGAGCAGGGGAGGGGCAGAGAGAGAGGGAGACACAGAATTCGAAGCAGGCTCCAGGCTCTGAGCTGTCAGCACAGAGCCTGACACGGGGCTTGAACTCATGAACCCTGAGATCATGACCTGGGCGGAAGTCGGACCCTTAACCGACTGAGCCACCCAGGCGCCCCAGGCAAGTCTTGACTTCATGTGCCTCAGGTGTAAAATGCAAACTCAGCTTTGAAGACTTATTATTATGGAGAAAAGAAGTAAATATCTCGTTAATAATATTTTACATTGATTACATGGTTAAATAACAACAGTTTAGATATATTAGGTTAGTTAAAATATCGCCTTACTGGCGCCTGGGTGGCTCAGTCGGTTAAGCGTCTGACTTCAGCTCAGGTCATGATTTCACAGCCCATAAGTTCAAGCCCCGCGTCGGGCTCTGTGCTGTCAGCACAGAGCCTGCTTGAGATTCTCTCTCTCGCTCTCTCTCGCTCTCTCTCTCTCTCTGCCCCTCCCTGCTTGCGTTTGCTTGCTCTCTCTCAAAATAAATAAATAAACATGAATGAAAATAAAATAAAATACCTTCTTAAAAAAAAAAAAAAGACAAGCCTCAGGGGTCAGATGCCTGAGTTAGAATCCAGGCTCCCCACTTACTAGCTTCACGATCTTGGACAAGTTACCCTCTCTGCATCTGTTTCCGCACCTGCAGAAAGGGGACAGCAATAGGACTGTCATGAGCACGAGGCAGATCACTAAACCTAGATGCTTACGAGGTCTTTGGCACAGAGGCTCCCATAGATGCTGCACATTGTCATTACTAGCCCAGCAAAGTGCTGGAGAGGACAAGCCCAGGACGGAACCCACAACTGAGACGAACCCTCCACTTTCCCAGAGACGCCTTCTAACCCTGTTGGCCACCCGCCACCCCCCGAAGTCCACGTTTGCCAGGGCTTATCCCCGAGTGACGACCTCCTACCTCCCCCCATCGTGCCTCAAACCATCAGACTGCTTCTCAGCTGCCCTCTTGCTCTCATGGGAACTTGGCTCTGCTCCGAACTGAGTCCTCGAAGGGACGGTGGTCTCTCCCACATGGCTCGCATCCTGAGGTGAGGCACGTGTCTTTCGGCCTCCCTGCTGCTGCTTCCACTCTGAGGTCTCTCGCCCCCCCCCGCCGCCACCTTACTTGCAAAACCCCAAGCGCGACTGGACCAAACCCCACCGACGGGGACACTGTGCCCGAGCTCCCCAGCACGGCTGGGGGCGGCGGGTCTCGCCGTGAGTCCCCAGCGGTGAAGCACCCGGAGGCTCTCAGCCCTGCCCTCCTGGGTTCTCTGGACAGACGACGGCGCACCGCCTCGCTCCCCAGAGGGCAGCACTTCATCGCCACCCTCGGCCAGCCATCCGGGTCTTCCCTCTCCAGAGAGGCCACTGCTCATCTTTCCCCTGGGACTTCTCACCGTGACCGCTCCCTGCAAATTCCTCTCTGTTTCTTGGTCTTTTGTGTTGAATTTGCCCCTTGGGTGCCTTGGTCACCTCTGTCCCCCCGTTCCCGTCCCCGCCACTCCGATGGAGGTGCCCTTGTCGAGACGGTCTTGCCAGACCCCATAGGCAGGTCCCACCCTCCGGCAGGGGGGGGGGGGGGCGCATTTCACGAAGCTGCGCTCCCTCCTCGGAACTCGGCCTTGGCCTCCAGGACTCACACTGCCCTGGTCTTCCCCAGGCCTCGCCAGACGACCCTCTCCTGGCCCCTCCACCTCTTGCCCGCCTCCTATTCTCTCTCCTCTTTTGTCGCCCCCCCTCCCCCGCCCCCCCCCGCCCCCCCCCTCCCCCCCCCCCCCCCCCCCCCCCCGCCTCCTCATGTTGATAATGGCAGCCCCATCCCATCACCAACTCCAGATCTCGGGGTCAGCTCCCTCTTCACCTCTCTCCCCTGCTCTCCCCTGGCTCCCCAAGCTCGGACCGCTCCACCCCTCTGCCGCGACTGCCACAGCCCACGCTCATCCCCAGGGCCTTTGCACATGCTGTTGGCTGCACCCCACACTCTCCCTGCCAAACCTCCCTTCTTTCCTGGTCGTCCCTGCCTCAGAAAGCCCTTCCCGGGCCCCCGGAATGACAGCAGTCCTCAACAGCTGTGACTTCAGCGCCTAAACTCCTATTTCTCTGCACGATTCATTGCTACCGAAGGCTGTGCATTCATTGGCTTACGTGCTTACTGTTTGCCCCTCCCAACTGAACCCCCAGCATGTTCAGCAGTGCCTGGTATCAGGGCGCCTGCGTGGCTCAGTTGGTTAAGCGTCCGACTTCCCTCAAGTCATGATCTCACAGTTTGTGAGTTCGAGCCCCGAGTCGGGCTCTGTGCCGACAGCTCAGAGCCTGGAACCTGCTTCGGATTCTGCGTCTCCCTCTCTCTCTGCCCCTCCCCTGCTTGCATCCTGTTTCTCTCTGTCTCAAAAATAAACAGACATTAATTTTTTTTTTTTTTTTTTTTTACATCTCGGCACTTCCCCTCTGTCTACGTCATCAGGCCTGTGGATGAGGCACCAGACCAATCACGAGCACAGGACTTAGAGTCTGACAGGCCCGAGTTCAAGTTCCGGCTTGAGCGGTCCCAGCTGTGTGGTCTTAGGCAAGTTACTCAGCTTCTCTGAGCCACGTAGACTCATTCTGCAAACATGTGCCGAGTGCCTACTTTACAACGGGGTCACCTTGCTACGCCTGTCCTAAGGATTATAGAAGATAACGTAGGCCATGTCTCTAGAACCAAGCCCAGCTAATTATGATTAAGTACTCAATCATCTGGTGCCGTTTATTCTTCACGTTTCGTCATGATATGGTCTCAGGGCCTATTTATAATCATCCGTGTTTACAATCTGGATTTTCTCATTGGTCAAAAACTATTTAGGGCCAGGGCACCCGGCTGACTCAGTCTCTGGAGCGTTGAGACTCTTGATCTCGGGGTTGTGGGTTCTAGCACCACGTTGGGTGTAGAGATTGCTAAAAATAAATAAATAAATAAATAAATAAATAAATAAATACACTTTAAAAAATTTATTTAGGACTGCCTCAGGGTCCTAAAGGGGTTGGGTTTTGTTACAAATGCTTGGAAGTTTCCAGTTTATTGCACTGGGGGTCAGAGAACGTGGCCAGGTCAGTTTCAGGTTTGAGGAACTTGGAATTTCTTTCAGGGTCTAATGTTGATTTGTGAATGTTTCATTGGCAGTGAAAAGGTGTGTTCTCCATTTATAAGATACAAAGGTCAAGTATTTGAACACAAGCCCCAGGATGGATAATTTATGACTGACCACTGCTGTATTCCTGACATCCAGCAACTGGCCTGATGTACATCATCCAGGTTCAATAAATATTTGTTGAATGAGTGGCTAATTAATCAAGCAACCTTATTATCACTTAGATTCTCAATACCTTTGTACCTTTGCATATTTTTTTCCTACTCCATCTGTCAAAGCCTGGTGAGTTCTGTCACATCTTCCCATCCCAACCCATTACATATTTTTTAAAAGATTTTATTTTATTTATTTTCTAATAAATTTTTTTTTTTAGAGACAGAGCGAGTGCATGTGAGCAGGGGAAAGGCACAGAGAGAGAGAGAGAGAGAGAGAGAATCCCAAGTAGGCTCTGCATCATCAGTCCAGAGCCAGAAGCAGAGCTCGAACTCAGGAACAGTGAGAACATGACCTGAGCTGAAATCAACAGACGCTTAACCGACTGAGCCACCCAGGCGCCCCTAAAAAAGCATTTTTAACTTGCATTTCTTGGTGCAAAGTTGAGAGCAAAATAACATGGCAATTAATCAAGAAATTAAACTGGGGCGCCTGGGTGGCTCGGTCGGTTAAGTGTCCGACTTCGGCTCAGGTCATGATCTCACGGTTCGTGAGTTCAAGCCCCACATTGGGCTCTGTGCTGACAGCTCAGAGCCTGGAGCCTGTTTCCGATTCTGTGTCTCCCTCTCTCTCTGCCCCTCCCCCGTTCATGCTCTGTCTCTCTCTGTCTCAAAAATAAATAAACGTTGAAAAAAAAAAAAAGAAAAATTAAACACATCGCCTTCCTGCCGTCCCCAGATAATAGTGACAGAATTACAGACACAATGTGGCCCCGCGGTTCCAATCTGTTCCAATCTGGCCCCAAGGTTGGAAGGGAGGTTTCCGCACCTGTTAGTGCCCCACTGTGGCTCCTGTAAAGTCCTATGTTGAAGTCCTAGGCTCCAGGACTTCAACATGTGGCTGTATCCAGAAGTAGGGTCTTTAAATAAGTTAAAATGAGGTCACCACAGTGGGGCTTTACCCAAAATGACCGATGTCCTTATAAAAAGAGGAAATTGGGGCACAGACACGTACAGAGGGAAGATCACGCGAAGTCACAGGGAAAAGGAAACCAGAGAAAGCGCACTCAGAGGCAGCCAGGCCAGGGGCGCCTGGGTGGCTCGGTTGGGCGTCCGACTTCGGCTCAGGTCATGATCTCACGGTCCGTGGGTTCGAGCCCCGGGTTGGGCTCTGTGCTGACAGCTCAGAGCCTGCAGCCTGCTTTGGATTCTGTGTCGCCCTCTCTCTCTGCCCCTCCCCCGCTTACGCTCTGTCTTTCAAAAATTAATAAATTTTTTAAAAATAAAAAAGAAGAAGAAGAAGAAGAAGCAGCCACCAGCCCTGCCAACCTCCTGATGCTGGCCTTAGGGCTTCCAGAACCGTGAGAGTAAATTTCTGCTGTTTAAGCCCCCAAGTCCGTGGTCCTTTGTTCCTCAGCCCCAGCAGATGAATACATCACCCAGAAGGGCCAGCCAGAGGGGAACCTACGGAGGGGACAGAGCATCCTGTGGTCCCAGCCAGGCTGCCCCCTGCTGGGGGCTCTTCCTTGCTGCTCAGCGGTCCCTAATTAGGATGCGACCCACACCTCTCGGTAGCACTGAGCAGAGAGTGACCCTGAAATAAATGTACAATTGACTCTTGAACAACATGGGTTCGAACTGCGTGGGTCCGTATAGACACGGGTTTTTGCAATAAATACAGTACGGTGCTGT